TAGCCAAACCATTGCATTAAAATTAAAAACAAAGGAGGGACAAGGGGTGGAGGAAGGGCAAGCAAAGAGAGGAAGAAGTGTAATAGACCCAAGATACAAACCAGTTGAGAATAACCACTGAGCCCTGGAATAAACAGTATCTGAAACACTCAACTTCTTCATATAGTACCAAGAACTCATGAAGACAGGATAGGCAAATAAAATTCATCTACAACAATTTCAAGGAGGCAGAGGTCTCAGGTACCAGCATTACTTGAAGAAGCATTTATAAAATAGTATGTCAATGATAATAGTACGCCATGTAACATGATCATATTTGCAGGTATATGTTGGGAGTACTAGAAAAATGAGAGGATTTTTTTTTTTTTTTTTTTGGTTTTTTTTGAGACAGGGTCTCCCTGTAGCCCCAGCTGACCTGGAACTCACTATGTAGACCAGGCTGGCCTCAAACTCAGAGATCTGCCTGCCTCTGCCTCTCAAGTGCTGGGATTAAAGGCGTGCGCCATCATGCCCAGCTTGACAGGAAATGTTCTTATCTGCCAGATGTTCCTGGTTTCCCTAATACTTTGACATCAACAGATAAAAAGACAGCAAGCTCTCTCAATTCAGTACTTTCCTAATATTGGTATGGTTGTTGTTTGGTTGGAAGTACCTTTGTTTGAGAAAGTAGCCACACGTTTTAAAAAACAATATAAATTTATATTAGGAACTGGTAGAAATCTGCTTTATATTGAAATCTCTTAAATGGAGTAATTATTCTAAGGTTTTAGGCATCACTTCCAATTCATAGTCCCTGTTTGTAGTATCAAATTCTATTTTTACTTGAAAATAACATTTCATACAAATGACATTTAATTATGCCAATTCCATTAGCTTCTGTTTATTGCAATTATATGTATAATTATTCATAAAACATTTATGTTAATATCATTGCTGACAGTTCACACTCCACTTGGAATCACTGATCTAGTTTTTGTTTCAGCCAATTTTCATTCATAGATCACATTAAATGTGGAGCCAGAAACTTTTGTTTCTTATGCCTAAGTTTTTTTCTTTTCTTTCTTTTCTTTTTTTTTAAGGCAGAATCTCATTCTATAGTCCTGGCTGGCCTGGAACTTGATATGTAGATCAGGCTCGCCTTAAGAGTTCTGCCTGCCTCTGCCTGAGTGCTGGGATTAAAGATGTGCAACACCACACCTATAACTTTTTAACTTCAAACAAGACAAAGCCATTACATTCCTCTTGAGTGTCACTCATTCAAGTATTTGATGACATCCTCTCCTTAAACTTATCTTCTCCAAATCTTCTCCAAAACAAGTACCACCTTTTCCTTCAGCTACACATCTTGCTCCACACAGGCCTTTCTTCACTCTGGCTGCCCTTCTACTGACACTTTAGTTTCTAATGTTTTTCTTACTGTGTAGCACTTCACATTACTATAATAATAAAAAATGCTTGGTATAAATAGCAGCCTGTATCAGCTTATTACATGCCCTACTCAGTAAGTTTTCTATCCCCAGTAGACATTCTGGCAACTATAAACAACACCTCCGAAATGCCTAAGTCTGAGAGTTTGATGCTATCACTTGATAAGATTTTCTGTGATCCTGAAAAAAAATGGCAAAATAGTAGTGCAGGAAATTTTTCAGCAACTTAAAGTTATTTTAAGTTAGAATCCTTTATTCTGAGTTTATTGGAGATCACTGTTTCAATAAAATAATAGTAACAGAAAATGGTACTTTTTCAAAAAGTCTTTACATGACACAATAGTCTCATTATTCACAATGATTTCAAGTATCAGTTTAGTGTCCTAAAATACTCAGTCAAAAAATTTCTGGTGGTGCATACCTATAACCCAGCACTGAGGAGTCTGAGGTCAGCCTTGACTACACAACAAGACAAACTCCACTGATCACTTTCACTCCTGGTTAAATTTACAGCAGCAAAGTAAACTCAATATACTTCAGCAAATAAAAGGACTTCAAGATACTTGAACATTAATTTCTAAGAGTTCCTAATTTTCCTTTTCTCACTTACCTTTACAAACATAGTAACAAATTGAGCCAATACACTACATCAAATTAAAAGAAAGTTCAGATGGCAGAAACTTACAACCACATGTTGCAGAGTGCTGCTAGATTATAAGCCAATTTTGAACTACAAACATACTATAAAATCTAGCATAAGAACAGCAAATTATTGTTTGCAGGCCAAATCCAGCATTCCATCTTTGTATAAATTATAAAGTTTTATTAAATATATTAACATTCATTTGATTACATGTTGTCTATGGCTATTTTTGTATTACAATGGCAAAGGAAAAGAGCTCAGATCAAAGACCATTTTGGCACGTGAAGTCCAAAATAATTATCTAGTCTCTCACAGAAAACATTTGCCAACCCCTAATCTAGGGGAATAAACTTCATGCTACCAAAGAAAAATTGATATCTATAATCATAACCATAACTAGAGCTCAGGAAATAACATTCATACTGGAATACACAAATATAAACATTGGGATATCTGACTAGTTCTTTATTCTACTGTTTATAAGGACTTGTTACCTTTCCAAGACAGAGTGCTTACTTACCTGCTCACTAGCTAATCTTTAATGTAACATTTCTTAAGGAATGACTAGTGGAAGAGTGAGGAATCCATAAATATGCTGTTTTGTGCAGTCTATGGTAAATAAGAGGTTGTTGCCAATAACTTAAAAGTTTATAACAAAGAAACTATTCTAGAACTACGTAATGATTTTCTTCACATTTTATATTTGAAATACAAAACTTTTAAAGGCACTTAAAATAGGAAAGCTAAGTTCAGTAATTTAGATATTAGCTTCATTAAATAATGTGAATTTCCCTTTTCTTTAAAATAACAAACTTTTCATTTTCATGTATGTAGAGTTGAAATTTTAAAAATCTAATTCAACCATGTACCTATTTAACATATATAACACCAGAATCCATTAAAAACTAAAGTCACAAAAATTAAGTACTTTCCAACTAAAAAGTACTTAAGAGGCCATCTGCACACAGTACAGATGAGAAAATTTCAACAGGACATGAAAAACACCAGTTTAGAGAACTAATTCGTGACAGAGACAGAACTATAACCCAAGTATCAGTTCAGAATTCTTTCAATGTCAAAAACATATTTTTAAATGACTGCTCATATTCTATGAAAGGGTAGACTGATGTTGAAATATTCTAGTTTTAAAAGGCCAGGTATGATACTACAAGTGTTGTGTTCCCAGCACTTGGGAGGCTGACACAGGAGGATCTTGAGTTTGAGTACAACCTGGGCTACAAAGAGTTCCAGGCCAGCATGGTCTACAGAGGGAAGCCCTGTCTCAAAGCAAAGAAACAAACAAACAAAATAAAAAATCATTATAAAATTATAGAAAGGCAGAAAATGAATAATTAGAAAGCAACTCTTACTTAAAAGATCAAAGAAACAACCAATTACTCAACAATTTGTCAAATGTGGCAAGAAATGATGCTGGTGAAGGGGCAGTATAATGACTATTCAACATTGTTAATGTTCATCTTTCTGAAAGGTAATTTGGCATGTTGTAAAGAGCCTAAGAAATGCTTACCATGTAAACCATTATTCCATTTTCATGACTATATCCTAGAGAATGAATCTAAGTTAGAGCTAAATTTTACATAGAAGAATATCCATCCCATTATAAAATTGTGAAATATTAGAAACAGCCTAACATCCAAATAGAGAACCAATTGAAGTATTTTCATACAATGTAACATAATATTAGGCAGCCATTTTTTAAAATCACATTTTCAAAGACATAGGTAGGTACTTATGATATCAGGTTATTTAAAAACGGATATACATGATCATTGTCTTAATTTGGTTATTGCACACACGCAAACACATATACACACACTCATACATATAAATAGCACAAAGACTAAAAGTAAAAATAGAACAATATTTAACAGTGTTATCTCTGGGTAGTGAGACTGTCGATAATTTTTCTTTTTTTCACACTTTTCAGTATATTCAAATTTCATACTCAGAAAACATTAAAAATTTATTGTTGTCAATTCAGAAATTTTGTAGTTTGTATTAAACAAGGAATATTTATAGTACTGAAAAGTATATCTAAATAATGGAAAACAAATCATTGATGTATAAGAGTATAATCCCTACATGTATATAAGTAGGTAATTTTGAATCTAAAAGGTAGTATTATTTTATCTCATTCTAAAGTATAGAAAGTTGATATTTAATAAAGAAGAAATGTAAATCTTCAAATAAAATTGGTGCAAGGCATCTAAAAATTGTGCTGCTCTGGCATAACACTGAAGATATAAGGACTCTCCAATGTAATGCAACAACAGTGTTATGTTGAAACAGGTATAATGGAGAACATGCATGTGACTTAATGAATTACACTTTTTTTGTGCCAAGATGACTAGAATAAATCTATGATAAAGAAATACAACACCATACCATTATTTTAGTTGGAAGAGCCGCACCAAAATCATGACCAAAAAAAGGTGCAGGACTACCAAAAGTCCAGGGAACTTTGATGCAGTTATTTTAGATTTCTTGCTTAAAATTCAAGTAAAAGTCAAATTACTTAAAACACTAAAAAAAAAGCATAGCGGTGTATGGTCTGCAATAATTTGAAAAACACTAATAACACTCCTTCAATATTTCTTCATTTGCAGACTATTAATCACAGTCTTTGAAGTAAAGGACTAAATCTGTTTTTTTAACCATTCTTGAAATTATATTCTACTATAATAATGACATGAAGGGATGTCACACACAAAAAGGTAAATGAATATAATTTTGAAAGTTGACTTTTAAATTGTATGATTCTAATTTCTGTGATTTAAAAAAATCACATAAATATGTAAAAAATAAAATATATCCTACCATCTATACATAAGAGATGAGGCTTTACCATTTTAACAAAAATTCTGAGATGGAATAAAAAACAATTTTCATTTATACCACAGAGCAATAAGTTTAAATCAGACTATTTTGAGTTGTGTAGCCCTTTATTAGCAACTAAAATAGAAGGTATCTGTTGTACAACATGGGTAGTAATTGTCTATAACTGGAGATTTATTATATTCTAATACAGATCATTTATAAATGCAATTTCTTTATAAAAAAGCTTCCACCCTTTTTTGTCTATGTATAATTTGCAAAACTATTCTGAAAGCGGAATATATGTGCACAAGTCTGCAAAGAGTGCAAATTTTAAGATATGGTAAATGCTTTACAAGTAACTTTCAAAAACTGTCTGCAACAACTGGATCTTTACATTTTCATCTTTTTTAATCAAAATGTTTGATGCCAGCCTTCCTTCCACTGCCCCAAACTATAAAGCATTTTTTTAATGAGTTGAAATTAAGAAGGACTACACCTACTAGAAAAGAAGAGAAGAGAAGTTCTATTAGTCTGAGGTTTCAGAATCCCCCAAACCAGAACCAACATCTTGATGAAGGCTAGGCTGGGACCCTGAACAGAGTACGAGTCTGTGCAGGTGGCATCCCTGAGGATCCAGAGCTTCAGTGGACTGTGAGTGCTCCAGCTGCATAACTCACTGAACTGTCTTGCCAATTTCTACACTGGCTCGACTGGGCATAATTCAAAAAAGAAAAGCTCATATTCATTCCATTCTTCTGGAGTTCTGTGATAGCCTAGAAAAAGAAAAACTTAATTATGACAAACCATATAAAAGACCGAACACTCTGAAAATGTTGGTGGCTTGACTTTCCCATTTGACAACTGAAGCCTAGATTTCCCTCACCTTGATTAAATGCCTAGTGTCCCGTATTAAATAAGAAAAAGAACTCGTGATTTAATTCTCTTAGAGAGTATGTCCTAACCGTGCTTGTTTGTTTGCTTTGTTTTGTGAGACAGGGTCTCACAGGTCTGAAGAGATGGCTCAGCAGTTAAGAACACTGACTGTTCTTGCAGAAGACCCAGGTTCGAATCCCAGCACCCACATGGCAGCTAACATCTGTTGATAGCTCCAGTCCTAGGGGATCCGACAGCTTCTTCTGACCTCCATGGGCACTGCATGACACAGGTGCACTTACCTAGGGTGTGGTCAAAAGGCAGATGGAGAAAGAAAAGTGGAGCTTAGGGGATCTCATGAACACATAGTCTGCTTAAAAAAAAAAAAAAAAAAAAAAGATAGGGTCTCACTATGCAACCCTGACTGACCAGGAACTCACTGTGTAGACCAGGCTGATCTCAAACTCACAAAGATCATGCCTACTTCTACCTTCTAAATGCTAGGATTAAAGGTGTGTATTACCATGCTCAGCTCTTAACCTAGCTTAATAATGTTTTTAATATTTTATTATTTCTATTTATGAGTGTATTGCCTGCATGTATATAACTACATTCATGTCACGCAATGCCCAATGGGGTCAAAAAAGGGAGTTGAATTCCCCTGAAATTAGAGTTACAGACAGTGGTTAGCCACTATGTGGGTGCTGGGAATCGAACACAGGTCCCTCCAGTCCCTTTAACCTAGCTTCTCTCTCTTTTTTTGGGGGGATGTTGTTTTGAGACAGGGTCACTCTGTAGCCCCAGTTGGCCTGGAACTCACTATGTAGACCAGGCTGGCCTTGAACTCACAGAGATCCACCTGCCACTGCTAGGATTAAAGGTGTGCACCACCACGCCTGGTTTAACTTAGCTTCATAATAACTAGTTATCATGTACCCTATCTCTCCCTTCAACTAATGAAATTTGTTATTTTTAAGCAAGACTGTGTCTCTCTATTCTCTAAATTTTGGCCACTTCTGCCTTAATATAATGAAGACTTTTATTTATCTGACTTTCACTAAGTCTGAAGTGTATATTTTAATTTGCAGATCTATAAGTTATGCTATGATTTTTACTTTATACACTGTTTTGTTGTTGTTTTTGTTTTACTGGTTTGGTTTTTGTTTTTTTTTTTTTTCGGTCTTTTTGAAACAGGGTATCCTGTAGCCCCAGCTGGCCTGAACTCATTGTGTAGAACAGGCTGGCCTTGAACTCACAAAGATCCGCCTGCCTCTGCCTCCCAAGTGCTGGGGCTAAAGGTGTACGCCACCACGCCCAGCAAATATATACTGGTTTATAATTTCGTTTATAAAAAGAATGTATTTGATTCAATTCAGACTTTAGCAGCTTACTCTAACTTAAGTTTTAGACTTGTTTAAGTCCTTCACAGGCTTTTCCTTCAATCATTTCGAGATGCTTTAAGAGGCAGAAGGTGAGGCGGAAGAAAGCCTTCCTAAAAATCCATAATATATTGTTTCAAATCACATTAAGAGAACAATGAACTTCAAGTTCCTGCCCTAAATTATTTCCAACTGTGTTACCATCTCCATTGCTTCTATCATTCCCAAACAAATGAGTCCACTGCTATTTCCTAAGGATGTATATCCTCTTTATTCTTATAGTGTTACGGTTTTTTTGGCCTTTTTGAGACAGGGTCTCCCTGTAGCCCCAGCTGGCCTGGAACTCACTATATAGACCAGGCTGGCCTTGAACTCACAGAGGTCCGCCTGCCTCTGCCTCCTGAGTGCTGAGAATAAAGGCGTGTGCCACTGCCACCACACCTGGCTGTCACATTTTCTTTTAGAAAATTCATGTTCATTTATTAGAAGAGAAATTAACTTATTTCACTTTCTAAAATTCAGCTACTGCCAACTCGTCTCTCTGGACATTCTTTCAATAAGCATTACCATCTAAAAAAAAAAAAAACCAAGAAACAGAAAAATATACATATGATCTGTCTTGCATTATTAAACCATGAACATTTAAAGTTCAACAGCAAGAGTTTCCATTTAATTTTAAAGTGTCCAAACACTCACATGTGTAGGTATGTACACATGGGCACACACACACACAAACTAAAATTTAATCTTCTCAAAGAGATGAAAAGCATATGAGAACTGACCCAAGGCCAAGAGAAGATAGGACTGTATTTTATATAGGTTTCTGTGTTAACAGAAAACACTAATCTATAATCCAGCAGTAAATTTATTCAAATAATCAGAACAACAGAAATCCACTGGGAAGGAAACTTGACTCTACATACATAAACCAAATGGCATCATTCACATAGCACAATGATGAGCAGGGTATTTTGAGTATGACAACATCAAATGATAAAAGTCACAGCTTCCTAGGATACTCACATTTAATAACACCCCAATGGGATGTCTTCCACATATAGTATTATGGTATTTCTTCAAATAATTGCTAAAAGATACAGGATCTAATTGTTCTATAATACTCATACCCTAAAAAAAAAAAAAAGGAATAAAAGAAAAAAGAAAATTTATTATTTCATAATTATATTTTAAAACTTATTTCGAGCTAAACATAACTTCTCAATTAAAAAGACAAATAGAATACATTAAATGATCCTTGTGAAATATCTAACTTCTTCATTATAGGCAATCTCATTATAGTTAACCACTGACAGAAAACTTTTAATTCCAGTTTATTTTCTCTAATTTTAGATGTTTCTAAATCACCATTATTAGCTGTCATTTAGCTCATGATCTTCACACATTTCACCATTTTTAATTTTCCTATACTAAAGATATTTACAAGTGAACCTGTGAAATTTTTAACAAAATCTAAAATTAAATTTTATTTACAGTCGTTTCTTCATACAACATGGTGTTTTTGAAACTGGTACAAACAACCAAAAGATAACTACAATTTAATTACTATTAGATATACTTAAATATCAATGTCTGTGAAGCATTTTATCAACAGTTATGTAAGTAACTGATAAAATACAATAAACTATGAACAGTTAACATTCTTTATTTTCAAAACTCACTAAAAAACTGATGACTTCAGTAATATAGGTCTTTTATGAGCCAGTTTCAAGAAGAAAAGCCCCTCTCTCCCTCTCTGTCCCTCCCTTCCTCCTTCCCTCCCTCCCTCCTTTTCTCTCTACTCCTACACACACACACACAATTTTTTTTGGAGGCAGGTCTCCCTGTAGCCTCAGCTGGCCTAGAATCTGCTATAGAGACCAGGCTGATCTCAGTCTCACAGAAATCTACCTGCCTGTTTCCAGAGTGCTAGAACTAAAGGTATGCCTAACACTACTCTCTATATTTTAAACTGGAGTGTTTTCTTTCTAGGTTTTAATTCAGAATTAAAATCTGATAAGCCACTCACCATGAACTGAATGCTTAGTTATATCAAATTCTGCAGTCTCCAAAAATTCACATATTTTTAACTGTTTTTACATTCAATCATTAAAGTGTTTATTTACTTTATTGTGTGTGTGTGTGTGTGTGTGTGTGTGTGTGTGAAAGCATGCACATGCCATGGCACAAGCGTGGTGATTGGGGGACAAGTTGTGGAAGTCAGCTCTCTCCTTTCATTATATACGTCTCAGGGACTGAACTCAGGTTATCAGGCATGGTGGCAATACCTTTACCCACTAGGTCATTTCTCTGGTCCACATATTTTTAATCCTCTAACACTTGGCAACTTTTGTTCACTGAATCAGGCAAATAACAACTGGATCTAACTAACTTTTTCACTAGAGTATAAACACGGTGTAATGAGATGAACAGCTGTAAATAAAAAGTCATCTGAAAAATGGCAATCATTAGTAAGTAACACTGAAGGTTTATTATAGTGGGAGTTTCAAAACCTTGACTGTATAAAAAAACTTTTTTCAGAATATTCTTATCTTTCATAAGCATTATCAATTCTCCTAACAAAATATATCTGAGATATAATAGAATACATAATCAGCTTTGCTTACATATTAATTAGCCACTCTCAGATCTGTTCATAACTAGTTTTTAATGCTGTACTGGCTTTCTCCTAACAAACGGGGCTCTTTACAGGTCAAGAATGACACTTGGTACAGACTCAAAGAAACATAAACTAAGCTAAAAAGTTAAACCTCAAATAAACAATTCTGATGCAAAAAAAAATCACAGTATCATTCTAAATCAATTAAGTAGTAATGCTGTGACAGAATTGTAACTCCACAAATGTAGATAATCAAGATTTAACTTTCCTAGACACAAAGAAATAGGCATAAAATGTTCCTAATCCTAAGATCTTTCTCAACAATTACTGGATTCATAATGGTCTAACAACAGTTGCCATAGTAATTCTTTGAACATTCACAGTTACAATTGGTATCCATATTGTGAGAGATATTTTAATGTTCCTGAATGAAGGCTAGGGTAGCTAGCCATAAATAGAACTCACTAACATAAGCTTTATTGAGGTTAAGTTCTAACACACATTTTAGTATTAAAATCTCCAAGCACATGTGGAACAAGCATCGTATTTACATATTGATACTAATTCAAAGAGAAGAAAATGAATTACATTTAAGGCAAGGAATTCCAAGTGACTGGCCAAGAAATTATTATAGAAACAGATGCAGCATCATATTAGACACTACTACATAAGGAATTCAAAATGAAGATAAAATGGTTAAATTGTAACAGAGAAAAAAATGAGAAAATAGAAATTAAGGGATTAAATGCATTAAAATTTTACTTCTTTCCAATGTCCTAAGTACCTACTTGTACAATAAATAATTTCACTACACTCAAATCTCAGACAAATGAGAGGATTTAATTGTATGCATTTATAAAGAAAAGGTAGAGGGAATGAGGGGTTTTTTTTCATGTGTAAACCTCTTCAACCAGAAAATTCACAAAGTATGCAAACAAAAGAGTCATGATAAAATTATTGGATATTCACTGACTAGTACAGAATACTGAAAAACACATTATATATACTTGATGCTGTGAAATTACTACCACCAAAATTCCAAGACAGAAATGCTAGTTCGACACTATTATCAAAATTCCAAGAAGACGAAAAACAAAACGGTTCCCTAAATACCCCTACCTAACCTTTTATTCCTAAAAATACTGGGAGGTATGATCAGTGAGTCTAAAATAAAGTCCAGTCAACAGAAAGCTTCCTAGGGCTTAGTATAGTGAGAACTTGATTGTTCAGATAAGCTCAAAATAGAGCGATGAAAGGAATCAATACCCATTCAGCTCTAAGTTAGGAGTTATAAATATCAAAGCCTATCTACCACAAGAGTATGGAATCACTGGGTAATTTGGCAGTTTTAGCCAGAAATCTGCAGGACATATGCTAATGCAATTGGGGCGGGGGAGGGCGGGGGATGGGACTGTCCAATTTATCATTTTACTGACTCTCCAAACAATGTCTAAAAATCTGTGATATCAAGTCCCAAGGGTCAATTTGAAACTAAAGAGACAGTATTGAGAGAACTGCAAAGTCATGACTCTGACAAACTATCTTCCCATTTTTAAAATAAAACAAGTTTATATTTAATAAAATAGCCAATTTTTCACAGAAGTAAATCTCTCACTAAAATAACACAAGAGTAGCAAGTATTTTACAGGCATTTATAAATAAGAACCATACCTTTTTAATAATAACCATATGATTTAACTATATTAAAGTATCAGAACTGTGAATACATATTTTAAAGAATATACATTTATATTTGAAGATGGACACACATTGGGGAAAAGGAAATGTCCTAGTTTCTTGAAGAGGGAGCAGGACAAAAATTTTAAAGTAAAAGTAATTCTATGCCAACAACAAAAACAAAAAACCCTAACCTAAGATGGTTGTGTTGAGAGCCAATGTATTTTGGCTATCTTATATGTAATTCTATAAGAACTAATGAAGACACATTATAAATACAAGAGAAGGAAATACAATTTAGCAAATGGTAACAATTGTTTCCTTTTAAAACAGTAGGAAGAAATATAAAGTAGCTAATTTTCAAACTAAAGTGATTACTAAATTTGAAAGTTTTAAATGACTTCAATAATATTTTCAGATTCTCTCTGTCATATAATAATTTGCTGATGTCAATAATGAACACTGGTGTACCCCCAAAAAGGCATAGTAAAAATGATACCACATATACTGAAATATATATATAAATATGGCTAATAGTTCAAGCAACCTGAAATTTATAAAATCAATATCTTAAAATACATCCTGTGTATCAGTGCAATTATTTAAACTGCAAAATAATACTTACCAAAACACTGATAGCCAATAAAATCATGACTTTCAAAATCTGCATCTTCTATACTATATTTTTACCAAACTACAACACTTAAGAGCCATATCTTATGTTCCTATAAAGCATTTTTTTGTGTGTTTTCACAATTAGTTTCCAAGACATTCAAATGTTAGAGATACAAACATTTTTCAGTAATTTTATTTTGCTTTAGGAACTCAAAAGTAGCTTAATGTCTTAACATTTTAATAACAATAGGAAGGCTTTTATCACTTATAGGGAAAACAAAACGGGATTAACACTAATTATTTTGTACATATATACTCTAAACTCTTATATTTAAAAATAGTAGGTTATGGTTTTTTTTTTACTCCATTAAACTTTCAAAATGTGCACTTTTAACAAGTTGCGCATCCTTTTATCCAAAATGCTTGATAACAGAAGTATTTCAGATGCCAGATTTCTTTTTCAGATTTTCATTATTTGTATATAATAAAATATCAAGGGTGGGACTTTAAGTCCTAAACACAAAATTCATTTATACTTCATATACACTTCCACATATCATACCATCACTTTATAGTGTACTTATAATTTAACTATGACCTGTCACATGGGGTGAAGTGTGATTATGTCAGCCATCAAAATTTTTGGTTTCGGAGCATTTCAGACTTTGGGGTTTCAGATCAGTAATACTCAACTGGTACTGTATTCAGAATTACTAACACTTCTATAATACATACATTTATGAGTCTTTTAAAAATTCTACATATGAATGCACATCAATAAGTGAACCACAAAAACCAACTCCAAGTCAAATGTTACTTCAAATATTAAATTCAAGCACACCAACATAAAATACTCTACGTATTTTGAACTTATATCCCATGTTTTTTTGTTCTGTTGTTGTTGAGACAGGGTCTCCCTATAGCCCCAGCTGGTCTGGAACTCACTATGTAGACCAGGCTAGCCTCCATCTCACAAAGATCTGCCTGCCTCTGCTGGGATTAAAGGCATGTGCCACCATGCCTGGCTTCCCATGCTATTTAAATAAAACTTTTAAATAAGGTTTTGGTAATTTTGACATCTAAAGCAAAGTAAATCTGCCTTAGAAGTAAGCCTGGGCTTACTGGTTGTACTATATACAGCTTACTCTTTTAACAAAAATTTCTAAGCTAAACAGAATCTGTAACTCTTTCAAGATCAGCTCTAAGAATAACGCCAATG